CCTGCTTTGAACTGTCAAAGCATGTCCTCCTGGCCCCATTTAGCCAGGAGGTCAGCCACAGCCAGCTGGGTCCAAGGTGCCAGCTCTGAGCAAGAAGGGTCCTGCCACTGGCCTCCCTAGCAGGAATTCTGGTGTTCCCTATTGGAAAACTGAAAAAATCCCTGACAAAAAAATCCCAAAGTCACTCTCTAAAACACCCACAAATCCATATTCCTCCACACGTAAAACAAAAGACCACTATAAAGAGAGAGACAGTGATCAGTTGGACAACGTTTTATTGATATATCTACAGTGTTAAAGTAAGTCTCTTATAATAAAGTGAACTCTAAATACAGGTTTCACAAATTCAAGAATAAGTATTTTGCAGCCTTCCCACAGGGCAATGGCCCCATACAAGGGCTACAGCTCTCCAACAGGGGATTCAGCCCCCACACAAGGGGTTCAGCCCCCCCAACAGGGTCAGGGACCATGCCCTGCCCCACTTTTTTATACTTTGCTTTTTTTAGACCCCTGGATATCCAGGAGTCAAATTTTCTCCCCACAGTGAAAGTCTGCAGTGCAAGGAACATTTTTTTGTTCACGCATGCGCCTGTTGCCCCGCCTCAAAAGGGTTTGAGGCAGGGCAACAGGCACATGCGTGCTCATGTGGATACACCCACAAATAGCAATTTTCTAGATAGCACAATCCACAGGATAGGATGGCACCCAGTAAGCTATACTATACACAAAAGCCCACAGACCACCATACTTCCATCCGCAAAAGTAGCAATCATCCCAAACGCACCAAAAAAAGCTGGAACACAGTTAGGTCCCCAGATACCATTCCATCTGCTGTGAGAATACTTGCAATGCCCACGCAGCCAACCTGAAAGTTGCCTTTACCCAGCAAGAATGCCCATATCTTTGAGTCAGCCAAATACCCAACAATATTATAAAAACAAACAAACAAAAACCCAAATGACTGACCGGACAACCCTGGTTGTAACCATCCCACACTTGAATCAGTAAGAAGGATCAAACAATTACAGTCTATATTTGAAAAGGATCAGACCTTGAGAAAAAATTTCTGAGTCCACCCCTTCCTCCACCAGATTTCAGACAACCCCCTTAATCTTGCCAAACTCATCATCAGAAGCATGCTCCCCACTGAGCAACAGGCACCTAATGAGACCCAACTCTGACTTCATACATGCAAAACCTAGCAATTCAGCTCTACTGCATCCATATTTAATGTTGCTCCTCTCTCAACAAAACTATGCGAATGAAGGGATCCTCACACACATCTACTCCAGAATGTGGTATAAACTCATCCAGAGCACAAAGTGCCCTCAGAGAAACTATGTGGGTGAAACCAGACAAAAAAACAAAAACAAAAACCTAACCTATACACCAGAATGAACACAGAAAAAGGATCACACACACAAAAATGGGAGACCACTTCATTTCTGACCTCAATCCTTGTCCACAGGGGATGTGTACAAAATATCTTCAGAAGACAAACTCGGGATAAAAATTCATAAGTTTACTGGACACTAAAAACAAGACTAAGATACTGACTCTGACCCATTACAATCCACCTGCAATCGCTGCTAATCTCTCTGTACTTCACACATGATAATGACCCTCTTCCCTCTTGAACAGTCTTGCTCTTCCACCAGTCAGGTTATCCTTTCTATTGCATTTTTTTTTGTCCTTCAGGTACTCCAGGTTATGTCCCTTCACTACTGTTCTACTGCACTGCTCCATTCCTTTAAGCAGACTGTTTTTATTGACATACGGCATTTTACACAGGTTCTATCAGATACTTAGGTCAAACTGCATTTGCTTCTTTCCCAGACCCAAGGAAGCATATCTTGTGCCCAAACACTTATCTAAGATTTCTTCCAATTATGCAGCTGGTGTATAAAAAAAATCCCCAAAATATCCTTGCCTGTCACTAATTTTTTCTAGAAATTTCAAATCTACATCCAGAATTATTCTGAACAGTATAAAACAAAGGTCTCTTTATATTCTTCTCTATAAGATGTCTCCACAGACACCAAGTCTTAACTTTGGTGTTCAGATCAATACAAGCAGTGTGCCAATAAGTGCTATTTTCTTAACAAGCATAAGAACAGAAAACAAATTCTAACAATGTATTCAGCAAAAGAAAAAAATCTTCACAAGCCAACTTCCTATTAAAATTGAACTTATAGCCTCTTTACCAAACAGAGAAAAAGAAAAAAATAAAGAGGTCAACCCTTCAGAGATGACCAGTTTGTATGAATGGAATTGAAAACAGAACAACAGAGCCAGAAAAAAATGCTACTTCTTGTGGAAAGCCTTTCTACAAACAGATCTGGTAAAGAATGATCCTTGGTTTACCCTCCATGTGATCCTGCCATCTCCAGGAGGCAAATGGAAGTTCATTAATTGAAGACAACATAATCCCAACCCCTTCCTACGAGTCAGGATCAGCATCCCTCCTTTTTCCCCCCCCACCAGCATGTACAAACAAATTTTCCTTTTAACATAATGCCAGTATTTTAAAATTCAACAACATGTAGATACTTGACAAAACAACATGTTGTTGAATATGTACTGAAACTATTTTATATATACCCCACCTTGAAGAAGTCCAATTCAGAAGAACCCTAAGCTTTTAGGAAATCCCTGAAGATTACAAGTCCCTTACTACCGAGTTATTTGCCAAAAAGGATTTACCAGTACTACAAACTAGTATCATCAGCATTAATGATTCCCCACCTCCCCAATAGACACTTCATGAGAGCCAAGACTGCACATAGTTAGGGCACACTGAAGTTTTCAACAGAACAGCAGGCCACACTGACCTTTCATATCTTAACAGCTGTACTATCAGGTTTAAAATGTGCTGTTTTGTTGCGTTAGGGGCTTTATTTATTTATTTTTAAATGCATATTCATACCTCAATCTGACATTGGCACCAATGTAGGATTCATATGGCTTCTCAACTTGCATAAACTCAAAGTCATAACTTCTGCTCTGTGTCAGTTCTCCAGGTAAGGCCAATTCTTTCACTAGGTTTACAAATTCATGTGTATTGCTCTTGTCATTGAAGAGTTCTAAAGTGCAGAAGCAAGAAAAGGTCAAAGGAAGGTATATTTTATAAATAAACAAGCAAATACCACTTAAAGTTTAAAAACCTCCCCATTTAGAACAGGACCATGACTACCAACTAATCTCATAAGTCACCAAGAGAAAGACTAGTCTAAAGGTAGATCACTGATAAATTCTGTTAACCATTTATTTCAGTTCAAGCAGACCTCCATTTTCACCACAGTTGAATACAGCACCTTCCATTTAATTTTGTTGCTAGATTTAAGCTGATGGCTCTCTCAATATACATTTTTTTTAAAGTTTAAAGAGAAGAAAACTTAAAGCTGTTGTCTAGGAAGTGGAAATGTAAATAGTTATTACCCACTATCTATTAACAGCAATCAAAGTATTTTACTATGCTCAATTTAGGCTTTTAGCCAGAGAATTTATAGTAAATTCATTAGGCTAAACATGTTCCCCCTTTCAAGAAGATTCCACAACTTTAAGTTGGTTTTGTTGAAATTAAAATGTATTAGCAACACAGGAGATAAATCCATTACAAGTTACTTTTCATTGTATATTACAAAGTGAACCTAATAAAAGTGACTTTGCAAAATATAATTTTACTTGCTTATTCTGACAGCTATTTCATTTTAGTTACTTACAGAAAAATCCAGTTAATTAGTCACTGCAAAGGAACTAGTAATAATGACTAATTACGAGTGACCAATCAGAATTTAGTCTTTTTTTCAGTTTTTCATTATTTGTATTCTGCATGGAATACAATAAAGAATGGTTTTTGACATTCAGAAAGGAAGAAAAAAATATATTAAACTCCAGAGACAAATTGTATATACTTTTGCTTATTAAAAATCATCTGAACCTGAACACGTGATGATTCTTCACAGCACTTTACTCAAGTGTCTAAATCTGAAGGTAGAGGGCGATGGGAAGGACAGACATCTGCTTTCCTAATGGTGTGTTACCAAGAAACATTATAGGATCGTCTTCATTTCTAGAGGCTTTTGGACACTTACATTAGGGAACAGTATGTAACTATACATGAGAGAGCTAAAAATGCCACAGAAGTATTTCCAGAAATGTTGAACTGTAGGCCCTATTACCCATTCTCTCCTATAACCTGCAGCCTCCTAAAGAAGCAACCAAAGACTAAAGGTTCTCTATACCTACTTGGTAGGCAAATGCTTAGCACAGCAATTCTCGACCAGGGGTAATGCAACATCCTCTGAAAGGTGAAACAAGATAAACCAGGTGCAAGGACATAAGCAGCAAA